TTTCTTTTCCTTTCCTTTTCCCTTACCTTTTCACCTTTTTCCTATTTCCTTTTTTCATTCCCTGTTTCCCCTTTTCTTTTCCTTTCCTTTTCTTTTTCTCTCCTCTCCTCTTTTTTTTTCCTTTCCTTGTCTTTTCATTTGACTTAATTCCTTTTCTTTCATTCTATCTTTTCCTTTCCTTTTACTTTCCATTTCTCTTCCTTCTCCTTTCCATTTCTTCGCCCTTTCCTTTTAATTTTTGAATTCCCTTTCTTCCCTCCTGATAACCACGTTCTAATGTAATATAGTCAGATAACTTGCAATTTATTCTGATGGTCACTGTCTCGCTGTGCACATAATTGCTGCACTTTGTATTGCCTTTGTGCAAACCCTTAAATGTTTCCCCAGTGAAGGAAAAAGCAGCAGATAATGTCCCAATTACAATTTCTTTTACAAAAATGATATTGGTTTTCTCACTTGTATTTTTGTTCAAAGCCATCTCTTTGGGCATTTTATGTAGAATGAACAGTTTTGATAACATACATTCTCCTCTAATGTGCATATCATTTGCTCTCTGTGAATAGTGGCACTTTAATAAACACATTAAAATATAAAATAATTACATTTCTTTTTTCAGAAGATTGCAATAAGCAGCAATTAATGGAAGCTTTTGAGGAATATGTCATATGCAAAGTTATTGTAAGCTAGATTGTTCTCCCTAATTTACTTTGGGCAGTAACAAATTACATTTTTTAGTGAAGAAAGAAGTACAAATTTAAAGCTGAATTTCAGAAAACACATGTCAAAGGATTTGCATTTTTACAGCCAGGCCTGAGATTATAAAGCCCTGCAACCCAACACAGCCAGGTTGTTGTCCTGGCTTTTAGGCACTGCAGTTTTGCAACACAACCTGGTCTCCTCTTTGATCCCAAGCTGCTGATTGGACAGAAAAAGAGCAGCAGTTGACTGATTCTCATACTTCTTCCTTCTCTGCTCTCTCCTGCTGTCAGCATTTTCTTTCCCAGTGCTTGAAAATACAGTACAGCACAAGCTGGTTGGCTTCTTGTGTTGGCCCCCCTCTCCCAGTCTGTGAGCCAGCAATACACAAAGCTGATATCAAGACAAATCCAGGACTTTCGCTAGTTGCATTAAATATACACTTATTTGCTTATTAATGCACACATAACTGTATTGATTGGTGTTTTCTTTATAGTTGCCCAGAGTTCAGCTTTGAACTCAGGTTTATTACAGAATTTATTCGTTGCCATTACGTGGCGTGAGCTGGCGTCTACTGAATGACAACTTCATAAGAGCGTTTCTGATTCATATATGCATAGGAAAAACACATTATAAAGGAGAAAACTAGATTAAAGAAATGTTTATAATTTTACACACATATATATATATATATATATATATATATATATATATATAACAGTCATGGCCGAAATTGTTGGCACCCTTGATATTTCTCCAGGAAATCATGTATTTCTCACGAAACGTATTGCATTAACACATGTTTTGCTATACACATGTTTATTTCCCTTTGTGTGTATTGGGACAAAACAAAAAAAAAGGGAGGAAAGAAAGCAAATTCGACATAATGTCACACAAACCTCCAAAAATGGGCTGGACAAAAGTATTGGCACCCTTTCACAACTGCGGATAAATAAGAATGTTACAAGCATGTGATGCTCCTGTAAACTCACCTGGGGCAAGTAACAGGTGTGGGCAATATAGAAATCACACCTGAAAGCAGATAAAAAGGAGAGACGTTCACTTAACCTTTGCATTGTGTGTCTGTCTGTGCCACACTAAGCATGGACAACAGAAAGAGGAGACGAGAACTGTCTGAGGACCTGAGAACCAAAATTGTGGCAAAATATCAACAATCTCAAGGTTACAAGTCCATCTCCAGAGAACTAGATTTGCCTTTGTCCACAGTGCGCAACATTATCAAGAAGTTTGCAACCCATGGCACTGTAGCTAATCTCCCTGGTCGTGGACGGATGAGGAAAATTGATGAAAGATTGCAACGCAGAATAGTCCGGATGGTGGATAAGCAGCCCCAAACATGTTCCAAAGACATTCAAGCTGTCCTGCAGGCTCAGGGAGCATCAGTGTCAGCGCGAACTATCCGTCGACATTTAAATGAAATGAAACGCTATGGCAGGAGACCCAGGAGGACCCCACTGCTGACACAGAGACATAAAAAAGCAAGACTACAGTTTGCCAAAATGTACTTGAGTAAGCCAAAAGCCTTCTGGGAAAACGTCTTGTGGACAGATGAGACCAAGATAGAGCTTTTCGGTAAAGCACATCATTCTACTGTTTACCGAAAACGGAATGAGGCCTACAAAGAACAAAACACAGTACCTACGGTAAAATATGGTGGAGGTTCAATGATGTTTTGGGGTTGTTTTGCTGCCTCTGGCACTGGGTGCCTTGACTGTGTGCAAGGCATCATGAAATCTGAGGATTACCAAAGGATTTTGGGTCGCACTGTAGGCCCAGTGTCAGAAAGCTGGGTTTGCGTCCAAGATCCTGGGTCTTCCAGCAGGACAATGACCCCAAACATACGTCAAAAAGCACTCAGAAATGGATGGCAAAGAAGCGCTGGAGAGTTCTGAAGTGGCCAGCAATGAGCCCAGATCTAAATCCCATTGAACACCTGTGGAGAGATCTTAAAATTGCTGTTGGGAAAAGGTGTCCTTCCAATAAGAGAGACCTGGAGCTGTTTGCAAAGGAAGAGTGGTCCAAAATTCCGGGTGAGAGGTGTCAGAAGCTTATTGATGGTTATAGGAAGCGACTGATTTCAGTTATGTTTTCCAAAGGGTGTGCAACCAAATATTAAGTTAAGGGTGCCAATACTTTTGTCCAGCCCATTTTTGGGGTTTTGTGTGACATTATGTCATATTTGCTTTTCTGCCTCTGTTTTATATTTGTTCCAATACATACAAAGGGAATAAACATGTGTATAGCAAAACATGTGTTAATGCAATACCTTTTTTGTGTGAAATACTTGATTTTCAGGAAAAATATCAAGGGTGCCAACAATTTCGGCCATGACTGTATATATATATATATATATATATATCCTTGTCTAAATATATTGTAATGCAGTTTTGCTGAAGTATAATGAATACGATGATTCCATGACCTTTTCAACAAGGCCTTACATACCTGTCACAGATGACCCCTGAGCCTCAAAAGTTAGGCTTTATGTACACTAGCATTTGTTAAGCTCCTAGAAGCTATTATGAGCACCCTAGAAGCTAATAGTGTTATCCTGTGTGCTCGTGCACACTGTTTTATGCTAGAAGCGTTTTTCAAGCTGTTTAAACTATAACTAGAGGCAAAGCATTTTTTTTTGTTTTGTTTTTTGTTTTGTTTTAGATAGAGAGGTATTGGAACACGTCAGGTTCTTACTGCAGTCTGTGCCCCCATTAAGGAGATTTACCCTCTCTGTTTGTCCTGTTTATCGTTGAAAGTGAAAGTAAAATAAAAATCATAAATTGTGGGTTGTCCCTAGAAAAGTAATAGAGAGTAAATCTTCCAATGAGGACATTAGTTCTGGCGACCTAGTGGGCAGGCAAAGGATTCCCTCATTTTGCAGGGGTTTCCTCTCACTTCCTGTTTTAGTTGTGGGACAAGCAGTGAAGGTAAATCTCCCCAATGGGACACAACTGCCAAAAAAAGAAATCTGACAGGGGTTATAATCCTTCTTAACGCTATCCAAAATGAGAAAAATTGTTGTCTATAGTTCTAGTTTCAGTCTTAAATGTCTGCAACATGTGCATTGGTTGTGGTGTGGCCCCATTTAATTAAATGGGACATGGTTAGCAGACTGTACTATCTGCTAAATGCAATGGAAGGGATAATTTTTGTGTGTATTTGACCTGTTTAATTGAATGGGTTGCGTTGGGCAGGCTGTACTGCTCACTGAACAAGATGGAGGGGATACTTCATGTCTATACCCCCATACGGTTTGGGGGGGGGGGAGTGCATTTTTTTTTACTGCCCTTTCCCCAACCCCATGTGTAAGGTAGGCCTAAATCCTAAGAATTATCTCCTTAACCCCTTCTCTACCGTAACCTGTAAATGAACATTTTCAGACATCTACCCTGTGTTTAGAGCACGTTAATCTATGTTTAAGATTTTGGGAGCATTTGCCTGTGCCTTTTCCTTTTATATCTTTAAATATGAATATTATATAGGTCAGCAAATTAGTCCAGTTATTGTCAAGGTAACAAAGCATACTGAGACTGCTCTATTTGGTCTGGGCATCTAGGCGTCAATGACCTCAGGAGCTAAATCTGGATCACCCTTATTCTGAGTACAGATGGGGAGGCTGTGATCCCTCTCTTCCTATCCCTGCCAGGGTTCTACAATAAAAGGAGACCCTAGAACAAAAAAGCATCCGTTCACTTTATGCACACTTGAAAGGGTATGGACTTTGAAGGAGGGGCAACCTAAGAAAAGGTTACCTGCACCATGTGCAGTACCAAAAATAATTTTACCTTAGCCGAACACACGGATTTCATGTGAATGCTTTACTGGTTTTGAAGTTTGCAGACATATTGATTTATGAGTCTCTGTGGACTATTAAGTTAGGAGGCAGCTTGAAGAAAAAAAATTGTTACAGAATTGTTTCTCTTTGGATAGAGATTGTATAGCAGTTATCAAGCAGGTCTGTGCTGCCAGCATATGTGCCACGGCTCACTAATATGAACAGTAATTATTGTAATTGTGATGGTATGATCCTCTCTCGGTCCACAGCTCACATCTGCTTTCTAACTGGGAAAGAAACTTTGTGAACAGCTGGCATTTTATAAGCCTGTCGATATTCAGTGGTGAGAGTGACTGGCAGGCACCAGCTAATGGCAGCCTCTAACAAATTCAGCGAATGTGATGTCTATCTTATGAGGGCGAGTTTGCATAATATTTTTTATGTATTCAGTGTTTTCTCAGTATGGCAGCAGGCAGTCCTTTCATGGTGTTCTCTCTCTGTTTACTTTGATCACTCTTTTTTTTTTCCTATCATGCAGAAGACTGGTATGAACAGCTCTACCCTCTAATAATTACACTAAAAGACTGTGTAGCAGAAGTTGTGGAGAAGGCGAAGACTTCAATGACTTTTGTTGTGCTGCAAGAGCTGGCGTGTGCTTTGCCCCAGTGCCTGCGCCTCACATTCAGAAGAGACGTGGTTTTCAGCCAAGCCGTAAGTTTACACGAGAGACACTTGGCAGTGCACATACACACCTACTCATAAGGTACTGGAAGGGGCAATCAAACAATTGAGACAGAAGACAAAATAATACAAACTAAGAAATATACATCAAAGATTCCTCACTGACAGCCAGCAAGTCAATGAGAAACTATAATGGTTTGGCTTAGTTTTAGTTTAGTTTTAGGTTGATGCTTTTGAAACTATATTTACTGTATGTGGAAAGTGTTACTAGAGCACTAAGGGTAAGCCAAAGGGACAACACAAAATACACTAGCTGATTGCATGCTACCTTTGTCTAATAGAATACTCAGATGTAACTATGCAATGTGAGTCTCATTTAGTGCACTTACAATTCTTTTGTAGTTTTTCCTGACTCCAACCCCTCTACCAGCGCTATACTCAACTGTCCAGTGAGATATTGCAGACTCCCACAAAAGTTTCCTGGGCTTGGCTTATGGACTCACTCTGCACTGTCAGTTCAATCTGGTGGATTCATTGGCGAGTGTACAGTGATCACCTAACTGATTGGGGACAGATTAGTATTAGACTGGCACTGGACAGGAGCTACATTGTGATCTGAATTTTAACTGATCATTGTGTATATGATGATTTCATGTAAATATGAATGTTGTTAGTTTAATATAAGGAGAAGAAAGGAATTCACAGCATGCACACTTACTTGCGAAAAGTTTTGGGACTCTTGCGTTTACATGCACATGAACTTTAATGGCATCCCAGTCCTAGTCCATAGGATTCAATATTGAGTTGGCTCACCCTTTGCAGCTATAACAGCTGGAACTCTTCTTGGAAGGACGTCCACAAGGTTTAGGAGTGTGTCTATGGTAATGTTTGACCATTCTTCCAGAAACGCATTTGTGAAGTCAGGCACTGATGTCAGACGAGAAGGCCTGGCCTGCAGTCTCCCTTTGAATCCATCCCAAAGGTGTTCTATCATGTTGTTGTCAGGACTCTGTGCAGGACAGTCAATTTCCTCCACCCCAAACTCACTCATCCATGTCTTTATGGACCTTGCTATGGGCACTGATGCGCAGTCATGTTGGAACAGGAAGGGGCTATCACCAAACTGTTCCCACAAAGTTGTGAGCATGAAATTGTCCAAAATGTCTTGGTATGCTGATGCCTTAAATGTTCCTTTCTTTGGATCTAAGGGGCTAAGCACAACCCCTGAAAGACAACCCCACACCATAATCCCCCTCCAACAAATGTTATACTTGGCACAATGCAGTCAGGCAAGTACCATTCTCCTGGCAACCGCCAAGCCCAGACACGTCCATCGAATTGCCAGACAGAGAAGTGTGCTTTGTCACTCCAAAGAACACATCTCCACTGCACTAGAGTCCAGTGGTGGCGTGATTTAAACCACTGCATCCAACGCTTTGAAATGCACTTGGTGATGTAAGGCATGGATGCAGCTGCTCTGCTGTGGAAACCCATTCCATGAAGCTCTGTATGCACTGTTGTGCTAATCTGAAGGCCACATAGTGTACATGTAGCAAGTAAATAAACCTCCCAGTAATACTTTTACTAGACTGCAGCTAGAGGGAGCTCTAATGATTTGTAGTGTTACTTCAGGAGACTAACAACCAACAAGCTTACAATAAACTCAGAATGCAAGTGAACAGCATGTGTTTTCTGTCTCCTCTTTAAAAACAGGCTAGTCACACTTTGTTTATGCTATCTTTGCTCACTCTTATGTTTGTTCTGACACTCGCTTTCTCTGTTTAGTATCCTATATGTTAGTAATGGTAATTATGTAATACAGATTGATGCACTTTTCCATGTTGTCTGCTTCCACTATAAAGAAAGTAATTACTATATCTGTATAATGTGATCCATTTCTGTTTAACACATTAAACGCAGAATGCAAGTGAGCAACATGTGTTTTGTGTCCCCTCTTTAACTACAGATACTGCAAGCTGCATCTTTGTCATACCTCACAGTCAGATCACCGATAATCTTGTAATATACATGTGTACATAACAGTACAGGATCATTGGCTTTACAGAACTAAACTGTTTGTATCAGAAAGGTATAGTTGGAGTCAGAAGGTTTTAGATATTGAAGCAAACCACACAGTGACATGAATAGAACATCTGGTACACTACTGTATAATGTTGTTGTTTAACACTTCACCAAGAGATACATTTCCAGCTCTCTAACAGTTTTACAAGTAATTTATTAGGCAAAAAGAGTAATATTGATGTGCAAAGGACAGGAACCCTTAACAACCTATTCAGTTTTAAGGAGTCAGATCAGTGAACTGGATAGTTTAGGTTGTGCAGGGTCAGTCTGTTTACCTATGGTCATATCCCTTTTAATGAAACTTGTAGGTTTTGTCCACAATATTTGAAAAAAGTGTGATTCTACTTTTTTTTTGGAATGGAACACATTGGAACTGCAAGCACTCCTGTGAACTATGCAACTGAATACCATATAACCTACTTTCTATGCATTATGAATGCAGAAAAAAAGCACTAGAAGCATGTTGTATGAACTAGCCATTATAGATAATATTCTAAGATTGGCCATACATTATCCCATCTTTCAAACAATTTGAGGATTATAGTAAAAAATCGGGCAGTGTAGGACTCGAACTTGTTGAAGTTGTAATCTTTGGAAGTTTGAAGAGCTTTTGCAACATGCTGAATTTTTATTTTAAGGCCCAATAATGAACTATCCCCTAATCTCCGTTAAAAAAGGGAAACATTTTTTTTTCGCTGCCCAATAGCTTCAAAGTTACTTGCATTATAGCAAACTGTATCATTCCCACCAGTCTGCAAGGGTGAGCAGATCTTTCACCACCTGTCACTCTTTGCAAGAGCACTTGCTGGTCTGTAGGCAGCCATAGAGCATTTAAAATGGCACGCACAGTTCTTTGAAAAATTGTATAACTTCACTCAAGATTCCATTCTTTCTTTCTTGTCTTGTTTCAGCTTTCAGGATTGATCTGTGGATTTATAGTTAAGCTGCATTCAAGTTTACACAATCAGGGCTTTCTACAGCAGCTCCACACAGCGGGGTTACTAGTGCAATATGAAGGTCTTCTGAGCACATATAGTAAGTATTGGCAAAATGTACATTTACAAACAATTATATGGTTAGACTTGAAATAATTAAAATGTTACAAACTGGCAGTGTGTGACATGTGAAATAAAATGTGAAGTTATGGGTAGGTGGAACCACCGGTGCAATGTCTAGATCATACAGACATGTTTGACTGCCTTCTGCAGTTTATGGCCATCCATATTCGTAGCTATCAACAGTGCCAAAATGGTTTAATTACAAGCTCTGCATTTAATTATGTAATTTTATTAGAACTTGAATCATCCCTCTCTTTCATTGCATCCAGCACACCTCTTCTGTTGCCTCCACTTGTACATCTTGGTCAAGCTACACTCTTTCTCACTCCAGAAACTGTTTCCACTCTTTTCAGCACAGCAGTTACTGAAGATGAATAGATAATAGTGATTCTTGTCATTGTACAATGGTTCCATACAGTACCGGGCCAAGGCCAACCAGTACCCAGGATGAAAATGCCAAACTGGGTCTCACCTCCACCTAATGTGTGCACCTGATCATATCATGCAGCTGGGATTGAACTCCTAGCTGCCATTCTGCTGATCTCAAGATCACTGCACAGTACTGCGTTCACCAGTCAGGTCTCATGTGGACCCAGAAGTGATGATGTGGGATTTTCCTTATACGTGTTCTCTACCTCAGTGCAGCATGTAACATACAGTTCAGCATACAAAGTGCAGAGGTCATAGGTATGTAGCATACAGCAGGAAGGCAAATTACCATACATAACGGACTATGGGGGTGAGGAGAGTTTAATTTACACAGTATATTACATAATCCTGACTGCTACACTCTCTATTCTGTACCTTGTGCTGCACAATCTTGACTTGCTACATTTCCACTATAAAGTGCAGAGGACAAGAGCAGTTAACAGCAAAGCACAGTGAGGGCTTTCAGGATCCCCCCCCCCCCAAAAAAAAAACAAAAAAGAAAGCAACCCTCTTTACCTCTAGCAAAGCTCCTCCTAAAATGAAACCATCCCTTCTAAAAACATTCTCCCTCCAAAAGCAATCCTCCTAAAATCATTGTCCATTGCTCACCTCTACACCCCTCCTCCACTACTACTACTCACCTCTGCCCCCCTCCAAACACTCGCCTACCCCCTCCATCGCATACACATGCATGCTATGCATCTCCCCCCCCCCAACACACAATGTCTCCCCCTTTTGAACTCACATACAATGCAGTTCCCACCCCCTCACGCATGCATACTTTGCAGCCCCCTACCCTTCACACATATACAATTCAGCCTCTCCTCCATACATACATTGCAACCCCCTCCTCAGATACCTCCAGTATATATACAATGTAATCCCCTGCCCCCCTCTCATACCTACAATGCAGCCCCCCTTCCTCAAACATGCAGACAATGCAGCCCCCCTTCTTCACAAATACATACAGTGGAGGCTCCCTCCTCACACATACAAACAACTCTGCCCTCTAAATGGCATACATACATACCCTCACACAAACAATAGTGTCCCCTTCCACTTATAAACAATGCAGCCCCCCTCTCCCATATAAACAATACAGCCTGATTACCCCCACATGAAAACACTGCAACTGCGCCTGGTTTTGTATTAAATACATGTACATGGAAATATACACAGTATAAATAAGTCACTAAAACGTACATAATGTGAATTATTTACCCAAGCAACAGGAGCCTATATTTATACATCAGTTTGTTCTTGTGTACTTTCCTAAATTTGCTCTTTAATTTTGTTGCTATATCTACTGTGGGCCACTTATATATTTGTGTAGGATGACATTAAGCTATTTTATGTAGATAGTACATAATTATTCTCTTAATTTCCCAATACTGATTAGGATGGGTCCTCTGTTCTTTGCCTCGACCTTTTCCAAAATCCTCAGCCACTCTAACACACCAGGATGAGTGTACAAACATCAAAGGAAATCACTGAAGGTATTAATTAGTACCCAGTAGTAGTGCTATATCAATGAAAACAGGCACCAAACCAGGTAGTAAAGGCAAACTTAATATATTGTTACCCAGTGAGGTTGGTAACTAGGCAAGCATAAAATGGATTAACAATGGTAATAACACAAAAGTGATTAACAGAAAGGATTAGGCATAAGATGACATTTGGTGTCCAGATAAGCATAAACAGTAGCAAGGCCACCTCAAGTGCAGAAGTGAGCAGTAGTAAAGTTTAATCTACTAAGTGCACTGTCATAACGTATTTATAGTGGCAATGCCAGTCTAAAACTAACTGGGTATGCAATTTCCAATAAAAAGGATGGTAGAGGAGAGGGGGAGCAGGGGAACAAAGGGGATTTGCTGACAAATTGTTACAGGATGGGCAGTCCTTTGAGATGTTCTTGTGCCAGCTGTTGTTGGGGCCCTTTAAGAATGTTGGTGAACCTAACGACAGTCCCAGTTAACGGGAATGCAATATAAGTAAAGGATAGGTATGGTATAGTCTCAGCACAAGTGCAAGGTAGATGTGGTTCAGAAAAGATATTGTATAATGCTGTATAGGGTAGGTATAGATGCAGCCCAGGTTTGGAATAAGAGCAGTGTAGAGTGCAGTATGGGTGCAGTACAGAGTCGGTGCTCAGTGGCTCAGTCCCTGATAGTAGTATCAGCAACGGGCAAAATATCCCATTCTCCAGCCCCCAGGATGCTGCGTTGACACATCACTGTAGAAGAGGGGCCCCCCTTGGTCTGTCCAGTATCCCTACAGCAGTGGTGCAGGTGCTGTAATGTGGGCGGTGCTGCGCTGCCCCTAGGTGTCCACGCTGCCCCCAGGTGTCCTCACTCTCAGGCTCAGATCCCCACTGGTATGGTCTCCCACTGGAAATTGAATATTCAGACAGTGGTGCTCTTTCTCTAACTCCATCAGCACGAAGAGGAAGAGCTTTCCTGGGCAGTTTAATAAAAATCATCTCTCCACTCCTAATGCACAGTGCCTATTGGAATTTGTAGTGTAAGGAGTCTATTCATCCCATTATACAGCTGCCATCTCAAACTACAACTCCCAGGAGTCTCAATGCTCTGCATAGAAGTCTATTGGCATGTATAGCTTTAGCTGTCCCCCTACTGGCCAGAGGAGGAATGGTGCAGTATAACATCAGTAGAGGGAGAAAAGAAGAAAAAGCAATGTTACCTTCTCCATATTGCTGTAGTTCAGCACCTGACTACACTGAGATTTCCTGCAATTAGTTTCTTCTCCAACATAACTGTCAGGTCTAGCCTCTATCGAATAATAGTATGATTTATTAATTCCCCAGCTACCCATTCCTCTTGTGCTACGTCTCTTTGCCAATCCCTTCACTTACAAGCCACTACTGTATACTTTGCTTTGAAAACACATTACAACATATGGTCATCTTTGTTTATGAGCTCATGTTATAATACCCTCTAAACTATCTTCTCTACTTTACCTTCCTACCCAGACCTACTACATGTTCCTCACTCATGAATTTGTCTTCCAGAAACTACAAGATTTTGTCAGGAAACCTTTCTCTATAATTCTACGTTCCCCTTTTTTTAGATATAGCTCCATCGTCAAAATATTTAGACATTCTCTCAAAACCCAGCTATTAAGGACTGTATATTTATTATCTTCTTTTCTTTAATCGATCATTAAACGATCTATATGTCTATTACCTACTACATTTGTTTCCACAACTCTTTGTTTGGGTCCTATGACCAGTTTCAAATGTATCTAGTGACAATCCCAGTCAATCAGGAAAGTTTAAATGCTTTACCCCACTGATTAGCTAACACCAACCTTTTTGTTTTTCCTTTTTTCTGCAAAGATCTTGTATGTTTAGAGAGTGCTTGGCTAGCTGATTGCCCTCAGGTGATTATCTGACTACCCACTATAGTCTGTACTAACCTTAGACTTGAGCTTCTCGCAATGGATTATTTGATTGTGTCTGAAGGTATTTGTTGGGGTAATACTAAAACTGTCCATAGACTGCTGGAATTTTGCCCGATTTCACTAGGCTCAGTCAAGTACCAGACTGACTCGACTGAGCCTGGTGGATAATTGTTTCCTGAACAGTGACTGCTTCCTATCAGATGCAGTCACTGTTTGAGTATTCAAGCAGCCATGGGTGCTGAGACTGCCTGAATACATTAATCAAACAGTCATGTATGGCCAGCTTTAGAATTAAACGGCATGGAAATAGCGTATGCTATTTTTTTTGCCAGTTAAGAAGTCTGGAAGCAGAACTACGATAGGGAGGGTGAAAATGCATCTGAAAGAGTCAGTTAAAACCCTGGACTTACACCCATGTGAAGAGTCAATTAAAACTTGAATTTATGCCCAATGAAAGCCAACATGTGTTGCCATTTCCATGCTTACGGAGCTGTAGTCAAAAAGATCTACTTAAACAATGGCATTTTGTTACGGAACGTCTTTAACACCAATATTTCTTCTAAATAGAGAAGTTATTTGCATTAGTTTATGAACAAATGTATAGCTTTTGACTCTGAGCCCAAATTAATTAACCATGCAAAATGACAATTCTTCCCTGTTGGGTTTGGTAATCAGTAAGTGATAATCTCTTAACTGCTCACAACATACTGGGTAATTTCTTTCCTGGAATAATTATTATGGCTCTCTTGCTTCAGAAGCCATGCACAGCCACTTAAAGAACAAGGATGCATAATTTGCTAGATTCTTATACCTGCTTAAAGCTATTGCAGCTGTGATTTACCCACTCAACCAGCAGCTATGAAAATCAGTCATCAACCTCGGCAGCCTGAAGTGAGCTGTAAATCAGTCAGCTGAAACGTGTCCAACCAGCTCAGTGTTCTGCTCGTCCCCTCTTTGCATGCAGAGCATATTAAATGAATGATGAATGCAAGCATCTATGATTAACACACGGCTGGACCTTATCTCATAGCTGGCGTTATATACAAATCACTCTAAATGCCATCTGAAGCACCATGAGCAGAAGATTATATCCTGAACCCACTCCATTCTGGGGAAAACTCTTTACTTATAGGTATTTTATTTCACAAAAAAAGCTGCTTAGAAGCAATTCAAGTTATATGAACATATGTGGTTATTTAGAAATTAGTAAAGCAAAGCGCAGTAAAGTAAAAAAAAAAAAAAAAAAAGATAGAGAATTATACATTAATGACCACAGTGAAGGAGTGTGATGCAGTTTTATGAGGGTGTGATTTTCATAGGCAATTTAAAAACCGAAGGCTTATTTTTTTTTCTTTTAGCATGGGTATAGATGATGATGCTCTCATATATGGGTGCCTATAATGTAGTCTAAACAAGGACACCATTCTATGCTAAGCATAAATGGACATATCATTTATTTCCTAATTGCTGATGAGCAGGAGCACTCAGCAGGGAACACGTTACTTACGGAGTGTCTTGATCCTTAATGGCCCTGGATATGAGCTGAGCTAAACAATGTAGGGTCAAGTGTTCTTTCGCTCATGCTTTCCCCTTTCTGCGTCAACTGTAGTGTCACGCATATGCTGGAGTATTTGAAGTAGGTAGCACATGTGATAAAATAATTAATTAACTTGTGAGCCACTACCTATATTAAACAAGGTTCGTCAGCACCAAAACACATACTCAGTGTGTATAAATATAAACCAATTTAAATAATAGTGCCGCGCTCCTAATATAGCATACAATAAAAAATAAGTTCATACACTCATAAAAAATAAAATTAATAGTGAATAACGTCCATTGTGACAATGTGATATAAATCAAACAAAGTGATCAAAAGAATCCACTATTAATACAAATGACCCATCCAACGGTGAAAAAACGTAATTCCCGGTGACTTCTTATTGTGTTCACAATATGCGCTCACCTCATTTAGTGCCTACTAGGAGGCTAAACCAGCTTTTGTTCACCAAATGGAACTTTGAATCATATATTGCATCATGGCAGTAGTGGTGAGTATCTCGCAATTGTTGATGGAACGTGGCTCTCCTCTCCTATCACTATTGCTGCAGGGATCTCTCGCTTACTCTCCTCCTTAGAATATTCCTCAGTACAAAAAAGACATAGACATAGTGCCTTATCCTTAAAATAGATCAAGCCTTTAATTTGTGCCCATATGCACTCACATGTGATTAAAAATAACGAGCATTTTGAATATAGCATACACGATCTCTCACAGCCAGCGTGTGTGCCGTTCGGTGTATATACTTGCCGTCCTCGGGTGTCGGGTGATGTCGTAGCCCCTCCCCTATGCGTTACGCTGCAGGTCACGCAGCTTCGTCATATCCTCCCTGAGCATTTTGGAGCTTTGAGCTTCACACTACAAACCGCTCAGGTGTGAATGGGGCCAAAAGATTGCATTTACCGTCACTATACGTTTGAGTGACAACGATCTCCTGTAAATAGAGGTGTAAATCTCCAAAATAGGGACACATAGAGGAATAAAAACTTGACAGAAGATTTATCCATTCCCCACTCTCTCTCCAAAAGTGAAAATAAGGTTTTGTCTAGAGATACACAAAAAAAGGAAAACTTTACCAGGTCAAATGTAAACATAAGAGACAGGGATTTTTCTTTGATCCCAAAGAGCATGGCATGTTGACCAAAGAAATGCTGGTGCAAAGTTTGGAGCTACTAGGTTACATTCCACAGAGATCTATCCCGAATAACATTGGGTATGTACCAAGTTTACTTGTTGCCGGGCGTTATGTTTAAAATAATACAAACCATATATTACTTTCAGACATTCCACATGAATGACACGTTTCATATCCATGTTGCATCTAGGTGAAGAAATTGGGATGCTGGAAGACATGGCTGTCAGTATTTCAGATCTGAGGCACACAGTATTTAAAATAACAGAGGCCAAATCAGATGACTTTCTGCCCATTGTGACTGGAAGACGGTAAGCTTTGTCTGTACCAGAAACATATCTTTCTCACATCTTCAGAAATTTGATTAAGAAAACATTTTATTTTTCAAAGTGTATTAGATTTCACAACTAATTAGTGTTATAATACTTTGTGATGCTGATATTGCCACAATCAATTCCATAATATTAAATCATGAGTTTTATCCTTGCATCTTGTCTGTAGCTCATGTCAGGATAATTAATTCCATTTATAAGGCTTGACATTTTCATTTATGAATAAAGTTCAGAACAAAGTTGTACGATAAATAATAGGGGATTGCCTTAAGCCAGAAGAAGATGATTTCTTTCAATTATTTACATTATGAAGTTATTCTCATTTGTTTGTTGCATAAAATTAAATATATGCAAGTACCTGTATGGTGTCCTATAAATATTTTCACACAAGAATAACACAAATTTCACCCTGGTTTCTTAGAATCTTCAAACTGAATCTAATTATGTGCATCTTGGGTGAAAGTTGTGTCAATCATGTGTGAAAATCTTTACAGCTGTCAAAGTAAATTAACATGTTTTGGGAATGATATTTAAAGAGTGTGCTAAAAGGTAAAGTTCTTGTTGTCCATAGCAACCGAGCAAAACCTTTGTTTCAATTTTCAAGTCGTTGACTTACATCAGTCCCTAAATCTTTGGATTTAAAGTGGTTCTAAAGCCTAAAGGTTTTTAACCTTAATGAATTTTGAGCATTAAGGTAAAAAAACCTTCTGTGTCACAGACACGGCCCTTCACCCCCCCTTTTACTTGCCTGAGCCACATCACGATCCAGCACTGTGCATGAGAGCTGCGGCTCTCCTGGCTTTGTCGCCTCTCTCTGGGCAGCACCATTGGCTCCTGCTCCCGTCAGGGAGGCAGGCCGAGTCCCTCTGTCTGTGTCAATGAATGCAGCAACGGAGCTCAGAAGCAAGCCCACACAAGTGCCCCCATGGGACTGAGCTTCCTATTGGGGGTACATGCAAGAGGAGAAGAGCCAGGAGCACTGGCTTGGGACCCAAGAAGAGGTGGATCAGGGATGCTTCTGTGCAATTCTGTTGCACAAAGCAGGTAGGTATTGACACGTTTGGTATTTTTTTGTTACATTTTCCTTCACAACCACTTTAAAGCAGAGTTCCAGCCACCGCAAATACTATAGCTGCTGACTTTTATTATTAGGGCACTTACCTGTCCAGGAATCCAGTGATGTCCTCACCCCGAGCTGATTCTTCAATCAGCTGTCGGGTGCTGGTGCCGTCATCTTGGCCTAGGGAAATCGGCAGTGAAACCTTGCAGCTTCAGCTGGCTTCCTACTGCGCATTTGTTGCACTTTGTGAATGATCTGCAGCCCTCTGGGACCTGTGAAGTGTCCCAGAGGGCTGCAGGGGAGGGGGCAGAACTGAGCCGGAAGTGGGAATGGGTACCAGTCAAAACCAGGTACCTGCTCCTTCCCCAGAAGGTGTCAAATGTGGCAGCGGAGGGGGGGGGGTGAGGCAGATAAGTGGAGCTTCCACTTTTGGGTGGAACTCCGCTTTAAGGTTCCTGCAAATGAGGTTAGCAGCCTCGAAGGTCATGTGGTTGTTTGACGGAACCAATACTAGTTGCCATTTGTTTTCAAGAACTACAAGACTGAATTAAAACAGTCAATGGTTTCATTTTGAATGGGGCCTGGTAAACCAGTTTGCCAAGTGGTTAAATACACTGCAGAATATATTTTTAAAATACATTTTTAGTGGAGCACTGTAGGACGGACTATTTGCATGCATGTACATGTTTTGTTTTATTTTGAACTGAACACAGCAAGTTAGGCAGGTATGTTTAGGAGGGCACAGCAGGGTATATTTTTTGAATCTAGCAGGGAAGCTTAAAGGCATCTTAAACCATCCTACCTGCACCTTGTGTTTTTCATTTGCTTAAGATTTGCATTGATCATGCATCACTAAATGGGTCACCAGCAGAAAGAAGTGGGTCCTATTCTCCCTATATAGATCTTTAGTCAGACCTTGTTTAGAATACTGCATCTATTTTGGAGACCTTAAATACAAGATATTAAGATCGAACGAGTCCAGAGATGGGTAAAACAATGATGAAAGGAATGAGGGATAAAACAAAACAGGAACATAATGTGTACAGTCTGGAGGAAAGAAGGGGAAGGAGAGATATGATTGAGAACCTTTAAATACATCAAGAGGGAGAAGAAGGTTCAGGCGGGCAGTGTTTTTAAAAGGCCAACATCAAGAACACGGAAACATGACCTCAAACTAGCAGGAGGAAAGTTCAAAACGTATCTTAGAAAATATTATTATACTGAAAGGGTAATTGATGCTTGGAACATAGTTCCAGTGGAGGTCGTGAGTCAGTCAACAGCAAGTGGATTCAAACATGCTTGAGACAAACATACTTAGACAAAAAATTTTACAAAAAATACAAAAACGTCTAAATAAAAAAACCCCATAGAGCAGACTTGATGGACCACTTGGTCTTTTTTTCTGCCATCACGTTTCTTTGTTTTAGATTTCATGGTGTCATGTAGTTTCATGGTGTCATGTGGCGTTCTATTTGCACAGCCTATAGCAGAGTAAATCTTCACATTCCTATGTCAGAAGTTCTGTTTGTGTTCATACCTGGGGCATGCAGCATGGCATTGCACAGGTTAATGCAGGACCTCTGTCTGTAGTCTAAGAACTGACATTTCATGTGAAGAAACTAGATAATCCCTGGGTCTCTCAATCTAGCACTCATTGGGTGAGAGCTAAACAGTATTTAGATCTGGAACAGATACAAGAAAACAGAGCAATGGATTGGGACCTGGAGTTGCTTTTCCCTTTAGTAAAAGCTAGGTGAATGGGCACAGGGGATTGGTCAGCCATGACACTCCAGCCACAACATGTGAGCTCATCATTAGAAGATAAGGCAAGTGCACAGAACAGGGAATATAACTACACTAATACTTAGTAAAAACAACAAAAACATTTAAACATGTGTAATGCTTTTAACTAGAAAGGTATGGGGGTGCACAGTAGGGCATATTTTGTGTTTTTAATTTTCTAACTGAAGACATCAAATTATTCATATATTTTGTATTGTACTTTAAACTTTGTGCAATAGGAAAGATGGGTGGTATTGTGGGGCGCACTAATGTGAGGCACCCTGTATGCATTTGTATGTATTCATGTTAGAAGTAATGCTATTAGGATTTATGGGTACTTGCCATTTCCTCAGCAACAGTTTACTCTAGCTGTACACATGCTAAAAATATATATTTGCATAATCCATGTTGTCATTTAAAGTCATTATTCAATAGTAGCACACATGAGTATTACACATTTTGTATTATGCGAAAAACTAAAGAGCTCAGCATTGAAGTTTCTTGAGCAAAAATATGATTTATTTATTTACTATAATAAGAGCACTGATTGGTGAACTGTTTTCAGCATTTTGTGAGCATGCATTTGTTTGTCTATCAAATTACAGATGCCAAAGGCAAATATAAAACAGTTCTGTTCTATTCTGTTTTATTCTATTCTATTCAAAATTAGAATTTCTGAAGACGGCTATATTATTTCTGTTTTATGCAATTCATATTGCAAAAGACTGATATATTGTTTCTATTTTATTTGATTCTTTTCTAATCTAATCCTGTATGCTCCCCTATGGTCACCCCCCCCCCCCATCTCCTGCAGTGCTGCCGCCAGGTTACCCCCTCCCTGCAGAGTTGCAGATCATCTGTCAGCATATTCTGTCCCCAGTGCTGACAGGTCCCTGCCCACCACAGATGACAGAGGAGAGAGAAAGCTGGTTCTGCCCCTCCTCCTCCCACCCTCTCTTCCTATGTCTGCCCCGCTCACACTCCTCACCAGTCTTGTGTCTTCTCTCCCCTCTTCTCTCTTTCTTTCTTTCTCTTCTTTCACTCTTTCTTCTCATTCTTTTTCTTTCTTTCTTTTTCTTCCTTCCTTTCTTCCTTCCTTCCTTCCTTCCTTCCTTCCTTCCTTCCTTCCTTTCTCTCTTTCTTTCTCTCTCTCTCCTTTTTTTTCTCTCTCTTTTTTTCTTTTATTTCCTTCCTTCCCTTTTCCTTTCCCTTTTCCTTTCCTTTCCTTCTCTCTTTCTTCTTTCTCTCCTCTACAAAAAAATGTTAAAAAAAATAAAATATAAAATTGTAAAAAATTAAATAAAAGTAAAAACCTACTGACACTAGTACTAGGGATACAAAGGTTGCTCTTGTGATCGGGCCCTGGTGTTCCGCCATCAGGCTCCGAGGAAAGGGTTCCCAAGCTTGGGGCTGCTCAGTCCAAAATGCCCGGACCTATTTTGTGTCCCAGTTCAGGCCTGATCTCTGCTATTCTACCTCATATTAAAATGCACACTATATAACTGGAAAGTTAAGAAATATATATAATTCATTTATGCCTGCACATCCTACTGTAATTTGCCTGGATTTCTGCACATTTTTACATGGCCATGTTGAAATAAGCATGAGTGAGAATTCAAATTTGTTTGCATGTATGGTTGGTAATATCATTTTTAGTTTTGGGAAGAGTAATTGACGGTGGTTCTGAATTTGATTTTAGAGAGCACTACGAGGTGGAGGTCAGACTTCCGACAAAAATGTTCGAGCTTCTTCCGCAGCAGATCAAAGACGGAAAACCGCTCAATGTTTACCCAGTTCTTTTTAATATTGGAATTAATGAGCAGCAAACCATAGCAGAAAGGTGAGACATTGTTCCTGGATAATGTATGATCACTTTGTAGAATGTAATTAGTTGTCGAGCTTTAAAGAGAAGCTCCAGGTAAAAAAGGCTTCCTGCACTGTTGAAGTATGAAGCTGTAAAAATACAGTAACAGTAAAATTTCTTTGATTGTGGTGTTCTTTAGCATGCTTTATATTGTTTTTAAAGGTTGCATTACCTGAGATTCATTTTGAACATCAGCTGTGGATTTAGGGTGTATATCGAAGTCTTCTATTTATTTATTTTTTCTATTGGCTGAAATAGAGGGATTTGTCTTTTTTAAACCTAATTAATTATATAACATCATTATCTGTGAAATTTTAACAGTCTGATAAAATAAATAGCCATCAGGACCATTTCAGAAAAGAGATATTTTTTTAAAACTTCAGCCTTGCTGACACTGATATGCTGGCAAAACTGTAAAGCATTTATGAGTAAAATATTTTTTTCTTATTATGGATCAGTAGGATATCAGAACAATCAAACCATGTGATGCAAACAAAGATGGCCTCCTGTTGGTTCTGGAACAGTGACATCAGATGTAGTGTTGCTGAAAACATTCATCTTCACATCCCGGAAACCAGCATGAAGTTGAATGTTCCAATCAGGCTCATTTGTATATATGCATTATTTTACATAGAGCAAACAAGGAACAGCATAAGGCTGTGCCATTCTACACTATTGTATTTTTACTCTTAAGATTAACAAAGTGGTGACTGGTTCTCTTTAAATAACCCTGCATACACTACATTTACACTAATCTATTTAATATGACCTGATGATGCTAATTTCATTCTCTTGGAAAATTGAATGATTTTTCAGTTATCTGTTGATGTTCTCCCAAGTTAAGACTTGAGTCAAGGTTTCTTGCACACTTTCGGGTCAGGCAAAATGAGTGAGCAGTCTACGTAGTCATTAAACAATCATTTGATGACTGGATTAATGCCTAAACCTCCAACCGCTCTACTGTACTTGTGACCAGCATTGCCCTTTGATGACATTTACTTATCAAATGGCTTTCAATTAATGAGCTACCAGACAGGTAAATGAACTAGTAGAGTGTTGTGTAGTGTTCTCTGAAAAAAGAATAATCTAATCTGAGCTCATTGCAAATATATGACACTGCCAGGCAGAAATTGATTTGGCAAGTAAATCCATTACTTGATAGAATTTAGCTTGACTTGTTTTGTTTTGAGCTTTCTTTTCCAGGATATTTGGATTTTTCAACTAGATATTTATATATTTTTAATGACTATTACATATTGCAGGTTTGGTGACACTTCTTTGCAAGAAAGCATTAACCAAGAGAATGTTGAACATTTGGAAGAGTACTATAGGCTGTGTACAGATAAAACCTCTCCTGACTGTAAGTATGAAAGGAAGCATTTATTCCAGTTACACTGCAAACTAGATTGGTTCGAAAAGAAAGGGTCCTTGCACACTGGGCTAAAAAAACTCCAGTTCCCTTGGCAGCAAAAAAACCGCTTGCAGAGAATGTTTTATTTTTCTGCCTCTAAACACTGAGCTTAACCACTTGACCTCTGGAAGACTTACCCCCTTCATTTTTCCCACAAATAGAGATTTCTTTTAGTGGTATTTGATCACCTCTGGGTTTTTTATTTTTGTGCAGTAAATGAAAAAACATCAATGCTTTAAAAAATAAAATTTTAAAAATAAAACAATATTTTTTACATATCCAATAGAAAAATTAAAAATCTAATTTCTTCAAAAATTTAAGCCAAAATGTATTGTGCTACATATTTTTTGGTTTAAAAAATCTCAATCAGCGGCTTATAGTGGGACTGCGACTTTGCGGCTGACAATAACTGACGCTAACTGAAACTTTGTGGGAAACAGGGACACTAATACAGTGATCACTGCTAAACGTATACACTGTCACTGTATTAATGAAACTGGTTGGAAGAGGTTAAACATCTACGGCGATCAAAAGTTAATCGTGTGCCTAGCCAGTGTTTCTGTGTACTGTGTGTGCTGTTTTTACTAGACAATCTGCTAGATTTTATTCCCTGAATAAAATTTAGCAGATCACCATTGACCTTATTGTTTCATAGGCAGATCTGTGTTATGTCAGTCTCCTCGGCGATCAACAGGTGCCATGCATTGACTCATCCACTTGTCCAATCGCAGCAGAAGCAGCGCTTCTGTGGCAGGTACGCACCCCCCCATTGGTGGAAGTGCAAAATCATGTTTATATGCATGATTTTGCACAGAACAGTAAATCCACTATAGGGCGGACGGTAAGTGGTTAAAATATACCTCTAAACATCCTAATGTGCATGGACACCTAGGATAACATTGAGCTGCTTCTACAGCAAAACGCTCAACTCCTCTAGAAGTAGTGTTTTTTTAATCCAGTATGAATGGACCCTAAGGTTTTTATTTACTAAAGCTGGTTCACCCAGAATCTTTTGCATCTGTGTGAGGTTAGAAGCCAATCAGCTTCTAACCTCAGCTTGTTCAATTAAGCTTTAGCAATAAAACCTGGAAGCTGATTGGTTTCTAAGCAGAAGTGCATGAGATTCTGAGTGAACCAGCATTAATAAATAAACCCCTAAATGTCTGTTTTGTCTACAGCAACCAGTCAGATCTTTGCTTTCATTTTTTCTCCTATTCCTTAAAGCCCCTCCCCACCATCACTGAGCACTTTCTTTTATATAAAGATATCTTATTGGGTGTAAAGGCCTGGGACAAGCACATAAACTGGCCTTGCAGTCAACAAAGAGCGTTTGCTCATAAATTTCTGCTCCCAGTGGAAGTAAACTAGCTTTTAACATGCATCCTATTTTCCTTCTAGTTACAGTTTTACTTGGCTTTGTATGGAGTGTTATTTACAGATGTTCTGATTTGGAACCTGCTGAATGCAGTGCATCCTGTATTTCTATTTCCATGCTATCTGTGACAAAGACTTTTAAACATCCGTAGCTAAAATACCTAAAAGCGCTGGCCTAAATTGCTGCTTCTAGCAGAGACACTTTTTAATATTTCATTGGTGTCTACATAAGTTCTAAAGATTTCTTCATAAGTGGTTCTTTATCACAGTTAGAAAAATGCAAACTTCTGAAGGACCAAAATGTTTCCTTTAAATAAGTGTCTCACCACGAATCCATTTGCACTGGGTTGCAAATGAAAGATTGTAGAAGATAAGAAACCAAAGCAGCGATCTGTACAAATAGCAGCTGGAGCTTTTTTGTTCACAGACGCTTTCTACCAGTTTAGAGCTGCTGCCTTTCACGTTGCAAAAAGACGATGACTTTGTAAAACCTTGTTAGCAAAGTTTTTTTTTCTTTCTTTAAAGTATTTCCTCTATATAATTCAAGTTTTCTACAATCAAATCGTCTGATTAAAATAAATAAAAAAAAAAAAACTAATTTATCCTCGTCTTTATCTTTATCATAGTTTCAGTATGTGGGACACATTGCTATGCATGGGAAAGTCCAAACCATTTTAGTCCTTTTAAAGCTCACAACAGCGAACGTCATATATACAACGTAAAAACAGTTCTTGTTAGCCATAGCAACTAGATTCATTCCTAAATATTCATAGTGCATTATATTAGCAAAGTGTGAATTGGATTGGTTGCAGTGGACTAAAAGAAATTTCTTTCTGGCATTTTTTTTTTGGGCCAATGTAATGTAAAAATAGATTAATGCTATCTGAGGTAAAAGGGACACAAAGCCACGTTCAGACAACTGTGATGCAGCCTTGATGGTTAGGTTTATATATCAGACCCCCTGGCAGCCTAGAAAGACAAGTTGTTCAATACATACAACATCAACTATACTTTCCTTGCAAGTGAATTGATTTTTTTTTTATCACTGTGGTATAAAATAAAACAAAATGTCAGGATTTTGAACATCTTATGTGATGGTTGCAGAAAGGACTTGGCAGGTAGCTTGGGAAGGGAGGTGATGAACCATTTCTGTCTGTGTACCATAGAATAAATCTGTGAACTTATTGTCCACATTAAGATCATTACATTTCCAAGTTGAATGTGAGGTTGATATGACTGAAGATATTGCCCATCTGGTTAGTACTCTTCCATTGCTTCATTGGAGCAAGTAGGTTTACACTTCAGTAATATAATAATTATATGAGTATATAATGGTGCATTTTATGTATAGAGGCTACATTTTAGATGTTAAACGTTTTCAAACAGAATAACGGTTTCAAGTTTGTTGCATTTGTCATAAATAATGGTGCATATAAAATAGCAGTGTAGCTCTAGCTAATGTGTAATGACAAAATGGCAGCCATACATTTGTGTTTATTTTCTGCCCAGAAATGTATATGTATTATGAATTTCTTTTTTAAAACATGGTTACTTCACACTAACATAGGGATGACCACATATTGTTTTACAGGTTTTTTTGTGTGTATTTTTATTTAGTTTGTGTGAATTAAATGTTTGCTTTCTTTTTAGGTCCACAGCTATTCCATGATCAAAGTGACCTGAAGGAACTCTTGGAAAACCTTCACCAAAACACTCATGCCAAAAAAAGAAAGAATGTCGAAATCATGTGGCTGGCAGCTAGTGTAAGTCTTACATATCATTACATAGCTTTATGTTTAACTGTTATGGAGAACCACGGGCGGACTGCCCATTTGGAAACTCGGGCCCGTCAGTACGGGGCCCCATGAGATGCCCTGGTACCTTTTTTCATAGGCTTTTTTGAGTTTGGGCAAGGACACAGGGGCCCCATGATCCCCTATTGCCCGGGGGCCCCATGAGTTGTCAGTCCACCCCTGGGGAGAACGCCAAAAAATTTAAATGTGGTATAACAATGAAATATATATATATATATATATATATATATATATATATATATGCTGTACCTGTACAGCAGGCCTGCAAGGACAAGGGGAGGAATGGCATCCATGCATTGTAGCTTAGGGAATTGCACCAAAGAAGGGCTTGTAGGTCTGGTTCAGTCTCCCATCTTATATAGACAAAGGCAAGGGTGAATAAATATTTTTGGCATGCATTAAAGGGTACCAACCTTTTTCTACAACTGGTGTACTTAACCTAAAGGATAAGTTCACCTTTGGGAACATGTTACATGTTCCACTTGTTTTTAGGATGGGAACATGTAACATGTTCCCACTCCTGCAGCCGCTATCCACTCCACTGCATCTAGTGACAGCTAGCAGGGGATCTTCCACCCCCCCCCCCCCCCCCCCCCCCCCCCCCCACCTAGCTGTCACTATTAAAAAAAAAACAAAAAAACACAGCCATGTGGGGCTCAGCCCAACCGACTGCGTCATTAATTCACAGAGTTCTATGAATGGCAATCTACAAGTACCGACAGCCTTTGCTGCAGGTACACTGACAAGTCAGCAGGAGTCCTGCATGGTACCCATGATCTGCTGATCTTGGCTGCAATGCTTTACAGGCTCAAAGTAAAAAAAAAATATTAAATGCACATTTCTTCATCTGCAAAAACGATGTGCATTAATTTTTTTTAATGGGGAACTTATCCTTTAAGGCTAAAGACATTAGATGCAAAGTTACAGAAGGCATATGACTGTTCCCTTCATATTCACGATGATCACTACTAAAAATTGGTGACAAGCATGAAGGGATGGAACGATGAGGTGGCAGTTTCTAATTTGCAGGCCACCCCACCAGCACCACACACACACACAACTACACATTCCTATTGGGAAGCCACAACTATGGGCTACCTCACTGGCAAATATAAAAGTGTAGAAAAAGAGAGAGAGGTGGGCAGGCTTCTGCAGTATGATGCATTTGGGGGAAGCAGAGGATACCAAGAGGCACTGCAGGTAGGCAGTAACATCTGGGTGCTTAAAACCTCATACCTATCAACAGCATTTAGTATTCTTAGAGTGGCCAAGTGTTTTAAAGCTGAACTCAAGACCATTTAATCTAGTTATGTTAATTTGAGAAAAAAATATTTTTATTAGAATTTGTACCTGAATTTGTCTTCTTGTAAAGCTTCTGTAATCCACTGCACAGCAGCAGTCAAACCAGGATATGGATGGAGCAAGCTCTGAGACATTCAGGAACCTGTTGTTTTGCACAGTTCTAACAGTCTAACACTGAACATATGTACAGGAAGAGAGAGCAGAGGGATGACCTCATCAGATTTCTGCTGCCCCTTCATTGTCCAATTTCAGGCAGGGTAGAAGAGGTGTCTAAGAAAGCCATTTTTTCTGATAGTCACTCGTTAGGTGGGCAATTTCTTCTTTCATACAGTATATTTTAAGTTTATTTTTCCTTATAGTAATAGATGCTATGTGTAGTCCAGGCATGCATTCAGAGCATATTGCATAACATTTTTTGAACTGCTACAGTTTGGGCAAGCTTAGGCTGGATGGATGCTGCCTGGAACGGCTATAAAAGCAGCTTGTATGCACAGATGCTACTCATTTTATTGATATTAGTTTCCATGTATTTTGATGCAACTGTTTCAAGGCATTACATCGTCTATGTACATGCACTGTAATTTATATAACAAGTAAGCCAGACTTCTGCTACATTTGAGGTGAGTACATGCTTAAGCCCCAAAGACAATCCATGACTGGACTTTTTAAAGTGTTACTAAACCGACAGCAGTAAAATCAGGCTGTATATGCAGTAAAGCATGCTTGTTATACTCACTGTGGAACCTAAGGGGTTAATCCTCTGCATTGTGTAAAAAGGCCATTTGATCCTTTCTTCTCTGTTCCTCCCCTTTTTCAAGCAACCACCTCTTATCTCCAGACTAAACCATAGGCATGGACATGCTCAGTTTGGTGTGTATTGCTAGAGAGTTTTCTTGGGAGAGTGCATGTGATTAGCCACATGGCCAATCAGCACTGTCCAGACAGAGGTCAGGGGATTTGCATCCTCCTAGAGCAGAAAGAAAACTCCTCCTACAAGCTTTAGGTAGTGGTGGGCTGGACACTAATAGAGTACACAAGACTGCTCTAACTTCTGATGAGAAAAGGTATTTAGCAGTTTATTTTACTAAAATAATTGCACTTCTGTGTATTGTGGGAGACCAGATATAGTGAATGCAGGGTCCTGGGTTTAGTAACACTTTATGAAAGAATATGAACTATACTTTAGTTGTTAAATTGATTATCAGGACAAAGTTTGTCAATCTTAGAACTTTAGTCAGAAGCAAGCAGAAGCCAATGCCTTTTGCTTTCCTTATGATATGGCCAGAACAGAATGATCACATGACAGATTGTTACTTCTGTGTGACTGATGTCACTGATTTCTCTGCAAAAAATAAGAAATCAGTTGAATATGTCAATTTGCCTTCAGTCACGAGACCAATGCCAGGGGATAATAATCTGCCAGTTATAAAACGGCCAGAGAAATTGAACTTAGAGAAAACAGATGAAGATGCTGCAATGTAGCAGTAAGACACAGAAAATGGTAATAATCAGGATTTTAAAATGTGTGTCGGATGAGCGTCATTTCATAACACAGTCAGAATTAAATGACCTGGTTAGGGACTTAAGTTTGTCATCAAAAGCAGAACTATAGGGTTCAAGACTGCAATGATGGCATTTGCTATCACCAGGTATGAAAATATCTGTCTTTTATAGCCGAGATGATTTAAATAATTTCTTTGTCAATGGCAGTACAGAAAATGAAGTTGTCAACCTGTCCAGTTTGTTCACAACTTTGGGTTGTGATCATGTTCCACTAGAATGTTGTCTGATTTATCAGTGTTAAGCCTCAAGACTGTTTTGTTACACAATGGCAATATACACCCTTGAATACCTGTTGGCTATGCTGCACACATGAAAGAAACATATGAAAACATGGAACTCTTGCTGAATCACATTCAGTACATCAAGTACAACTGGAATATCTGTGGAGATCTAAAAGTAGTGGCTCTACAACTTAGAATGGAGTTTGAGTATACCAACCACTGTTGTTACAATTGCGAATGGGACAGCCATGCACAGCTATGCAAGAGAGCTGCATTACATTAAAAAGAAATGATTAATCTCAAGGAATGTTGTTTAAGAACAGAAAAACATGGCACCTGAACCACTTGTTGACCCAACAAAGATACTTATGCCTCCGCTTCACATAAAACTCAAACTGATGAAAAATCTTGTTAGAACGATGAACAAGGAAGGTGAAGATTTTTTTTATTTGAGACAGATGTTTCCAACAATAAATGATGCCAGGATTAAAGAGGAGCTACAATCTCATACTCAAAAATAAAATAAACACATCCCTGTGATCCTTAAAAAAAAACACTGGACTTACTTTGGATATGGTCTATACTGTAATTAGCTTCCTCACTTGTCAGATATCCTGTTAATTCACCCCTGTGGAATTGCTGGCAGCCATCATCTTGGTTGTGGGTGTCTGAAGCTGGCACCAGTGAGTTCCGGGATGTAGGGAAGCTAGTGAACCAGCATGCACCTCCCATTCTTGCGCATGCGTATTAGTTAATGTGCCCAAAGCACAACATTAGCTGATTAAGGCTACCCAAAGACTCCTGGGATAGATGACGCTGGTATCCCAGGAGTCGACGGGATTGCCTAATGACATAATCTCCTAGGCAGTTGTGGCCGGAAGTGCCAGTAAATTAAAAGAAAAAAGGTACTTAGAAATAATATAAAATATTGAGAATATCAATTTTATTATTGTACTACAGCTGGACAATATAAGCATAAGTTAAAAATATGGGTGAAGACCCACTTTAAGGAAGGCATTTCCACATATGAGATATATCATCAATGACAAGTAGTTTGAAGATCTCTTAGGAGGGGCAGAGAAACTTACCTGGAAAGCATTCAAGGTTGTTGTTGAGAATTTTCTTGGTATCTACAAAACACCAAACTACATTCAGCTGGGTGACAAACTTTTTACAGCACACATAACTATGAAGTGCAACATATCACTGAAGATTCTTTTTCTGCATCAACACTTGGACTTTTTTCTTTAAAATCAAGGTGCAGCCAGTGACAAACAGGGGGAATGGTTTCACCAAGACATTGTCACAATGGAAAAATGGTATTAGGGCAACTGGAATTTATCAAAGCTGGCTGACTATTTTTGGACATTGCAGTACAAATGAAAATCAGAAGCAAAACATTTTAAGCTCTGTTGAACTCATGTAGCATGTCAGACACATTGTGTGATTAAACACATTATAGCCATTTAAAAGTTCATTTCATATTTCTTAAGATTCCTACATAATACAGTACTTGTGAAATTATATTTGTTTTAGGTTTGAAAAGGTTTATCATAATGACCAAAAGTCTTTTGGGAAGCAAACATTTCAAAAAATGTTGTTGTCTAGTGTTGTCATTTCCATGATTGAGTCCTCATGCACACTAGACGTTTTTACAGCTGCTGTTTTTGGCTTTTGACGTTTTTTTTTTTACAGCTAGTAAAACCCCCAGCATGTTGTCCTTTGTGTCCATGCACACATAGACTGTAATCAATTTTTTGGCTGGAAAAAAAAAAAACAGGACCAGTGGGTTTCTAGAGGACTTTTTTAGCTGGAAAAACACTCTAATGCTGAAAAACACAGTAAAACGCCACAAATCAGCAT